CAATGACTGCAGTCTTGTGGGTCCTGAGTTTCCTTAGCCTCATATCATCGAACATTCCTGCATCTTCAGGACTGCTCAAATCTAGATAAGGAATGGGGCCAAGCTTGTCTGTAGAGGGCTGTGAAATAAAGGATATATGAGTTGCACAATTGGAATGGGAAATAAAAAGGACGTGCGTCCACATTGGTGATAGGTTCCGGAATAATTGCAATGGCCCCAAAGTGAAGGGCATCCTCAGTCTGAACAACGCAAAGAATGAGCAGATGCAGTTAATAGGGTACTTCTTCACTCTTCCTAATACCGACATCTTTGGGTAATGAGTGCGTCATAATTGGTCGAAATTAATAAATTCACGAACCTTTTGTTCTTTTGCAGACTTGGTTTTCGATGGCTTTGTAGCTGGAGTTACTAGGGGGGGCCTAGAAGTGAGTCAGACCATGAAATGAATCATCTGGCATCCGCAGGCTGTAATACTTGTTTAGAGTTAGAAATGTGACATCATTTATGTAGAGCAACTGCAGAAAATGCTCTGAACCTGCTTTGGAGATGATCAAAAGGATGGATAGTTAACAATGGATCAATTGTTTGGCGCAGTCAGCAAAATCACGTGAAATCCTTAATTATTTCAGGCTTCATTTTGAGGAATTCGGGTCTGTGTTGCGGTTCGCCTGCTCCTTTTGCTTTTCGATGGGCATGAGGATAAAGTTCATCACTTCTTTCAAGCCATGTGTGATGCCTCGGAGCACAGTACGTGTAAGAAGCTCATCTTTGACTGTCCAGTATGCTTAATCTGATGCAGAATGTCATTCTCCATATCTCTCCAGCTATGCATCGGATCTCCTTCAAATTTGGATCAAGCAGCGAGACTGATGGCTTCATACCAATCAGGCCTGCAATGATTTTTCCCATTTTTTTTGCATCTTCGGGATGGCATACAAGACTTGGGAGTATTCAGGTGGTCCATCGCAGTTCACATCCCAAATATATGTCATTATCTGGAGTACATGGTATTGGTGCGTAACTACCACTCAAGGTATCTATTTATTACTAATTTTGACCTTTGCCATCATCATCAGGCATGCTATGAACTGTGTCCTTTGACGTCCTGTGGGCTACTTATCACCTATCCATCTACTACGTACCAATACTCATATCTCAAAATCTTCAATTATTACTTACCTGCATCTGTCCACCTGCAACCTCATTATGTACTTCCTATCAATGAGAATTGCTGTTAGAATATAATCACGTTATATTCAGCAGCAATGGCAGTAAGAGATAGAGTGCACACAGCACTGTAGTTGATCACACAGATCAGACGATGAAGGAGTAGAGAGGACTACTTATTCGACAAGACGAATACTACAGGTTTATATACAAGTCCAAGGTAGACGATGTCATGTTACAGCTAAACATAGCGAGAGAGAAAGGAAGTACAATACAATGTATCCTACTGGTAGTCCTATAGTAATAGTACACAATGGTGGGATTGATAACATGACGGTGAGACTAATAACACGATAGTGAGATAGTGGTTTGTAATAAGAGAACAATGTTCCATAGATGGTATGTGAGTCATCAAATGTTAACAATTGCCAATATAATTGTATTGGGTCCAACAGCCCCGGAATTTTACTCTCCATCTTTCAGGATGTCTAATGCACTAGATGACCCTGATATGCCTGAACTCGTCTCGAGTGACTCGGATGATGAGGGTGTTAAAGGAGCCACTCCACCGCAGTCAAAAGAAGAAGCGATCCAAAGTGCTATGCAGGCCATTGAATCTTCTAATGGTGAACTCTCTGTCCGTAAGGCTGCCAAAGCCTATGGGGTTCATCCAGCTACCCTCCAGCGACGTGTTCATGGTGGAAAGTCTCGCTCTAAGGCTCATGCCCACCAACAGAATCTCTCACCTGCACAGGAAGATCTTCTTGTGGAGTGGATCAAAGTACAGGGTCAGCGTGGTGTGCCTCTCTTGTTACCCATGGTTTCTGCATATGCCTCAGATATTGCGGGAAAACCTATGGGCGACAATTGGATTTGCCGTTTTCGGACCCGCCATCCAGATCTTGCATTGAAATTCACTACTAGTCTTGAGGAGAGTCGAGCTTGTTCACTTACTCTAGCTGCAGTCTCTACCTCCTATGATGTTCTCGCAGACACTGTTGCTCAGTATGAAATACCTCCCGAAAACATTTACAATATGGACGAAAAAGGAGTTCAATTGGGTATTGGTCAGCGTACAGCTGTCCTTGTGGATCGTAACCAGAAATCTGTCAGTTCCATCGAGTCTGGCAATCGTGATTTAGTGACAATCATCGAAACAGTTTGTGCCGACGGGTCAGCCCTCCACCCCTCAGTGATTTTTGAAGGACAGAGGCGGGACATTCATTGGGGTGATGTCAATCCAGCAAATGCAAGGTACGTCTCAGTCATCCTTTGTGTCATGGATTGCGCTCACTTGCATTTCCGTTAGTATTTTGACCTCACCCAATGGCTGGACTGACCAAGAGCTTGGCTCTCTCTGGCTCGAGAAAGACTTTGAACCTGTCACTGCAGCTCGTAACCACACAAAAAAACATTGCTTACTCATTCTTGACGGACATAATTCACATTGCACATATCGATTCTGTAGATTTGCAGAACAGCACAAAATCGTTGTAATTTGTCTTCCTGCTCATACCACGCATGCCCTACAGCCTTGTGATGTAGGAGTGTTTGGACCTCTCGCATCCAGCTGGAAGGCACGTCAGCCTCAATAAACATTTCATATACATTACTCACATATCTGTATATACTCAGGCCCTAGTTACTTCGTTATCCCGAAAATACATCATTATTGACAAGTATAATCTACTCCGACATTATGCAACAGCACGAGAGAAAGCATTTAAGACTACTACAATAGCAGCAGCATTCCGTAAAACTGGTATACACCCATTCAATCGCAACACCATCGATTCAATCTTGTATGAACCTGCAAAAAACTTCACAACAAAGTCTGCTATGCCTGTTCCTGTACAGCTTCCCTCACTCCTTGAACCTGTAATGACATCTTCTACTTCTTCGACTCCTACTCCCAGCACAAGCAATGAGCACGGGATCGTACTTCTGCCTCCTCTCCCTCATGTGCACCGCACTGTCTCAAAAGAATATCTCTGGACCAAAAATATAGTCATGCGCACACAGCTTGAGGCAGCAGGGAAACTGTTGAGTGCAAATTTTGCCCACATGAAGCTAATGGAGGCCGAGAATGAGAGGTTGCGCAACAAGGCATTCGCAAAGAAGAGGAAACATGTTGCTGTGAACACGGGAATGAGTCGACATTTGGCAGCAGAGGAAAACATGAAAGAGTTGTTGAAAGAAGAGATGAAACGTGTCCTGACATTGCTCAAGCCAAAATTTAAAGAACTGAAAAAGAAAATAGAGGCATTCGAGAAGAACGAGGCAAAAGCAAGAAAAGAAACAGCGGCGTGGGAGAAAAAAGTTTTGCAGGCAGCCGCAAGGGAAAGAAAGGCAGCGCAACAAAGAGAACTAGGCAGAGGTCGCAGTCGTGGACGTGGACGTGGACACGGACATATTCAAAAAGGGCGGGGACAAGGACAGACCCAGGCTATGGCAAACCAGTCTGAAGACTCAAGTTCAGAGACATCCTCATTGAATCACACAGATCACGCACCTGAAAATGATAACTCGACAGATTCAGACTCGGATTCTGAAGCTGCTCTCACTTCATTTGTTCCCACTGCACCACTCAGACAAGCTCATCCTAGGCCTAAACCTCGGCCTATTCCCCCTTCTGATTCCAACTCCCATAGCTTGCATCCTGTAGACTCTCATGAGTCATTTGATGTACCAATTACTGGTGACCCAGGGACCAACAATGCCAAGGATTCTCAGACAAGCTTTGGAGAAGAGGATCATGGGGTAAGCAAAGAAGATGAGGCAGTTGAAACAGCGATTCAGTTGATTTTGGGCCATAAATGGATTGGGCGGGGCTTGAAGTTCATGGTAGAATGGGTCGACGACGATGTTACCTGGGAGTCTCTTTCGAACATCAAAGATTGTGTTGCCCTGGATGATTATTTGGTCCATCATGGCTTAGCTGAGCCTTCAAAACTATCCAAGAAGATGTATCTTTTAAGTAGAAAATGATCGATTGGTTGTATATGAATGTGCATGGTAGGAAAGATAGTTCCAGGATAGTTCTACGACGATTCTATGCAGCTGCCAGGATGAGGTCCATCCCAAAATGGATGTTTTCCCACGCATGACTTGGATCCCGGTCAATGCCTGTTTCGGACCCATCAGGAAAACTGTCCCCTTGAAATAGACAACAATTAGGTGTTACATGCGAGAAAGTTGAATGAAAATACCAAACGTACTAAAATATTACATAGTTGCAATATGTGTGAAAGTTCGGAAATTTGGCGGCCCAGTTTGAGATTTCAAAATCTTTCAAGAACATTTCAAGAACATTTCAAATCTTTTCAAATATTCTTCGGGTAATTTGAGCAACTTGTCAGTTGGTTTCACTCATAATTCTAGTCCTTTTGCATGAGTGGCTGATATTTTGAGCATGATTCAATGTAACTTTCCTCATATTTCACAGAAATAAACATAAGAAGGATGTATTGATTGGCAGAGGAATATATACTCTATCTATATCTATCTATATAGAAAGTCAAGCTTACTTTTGGTTTCCGTTGCAGTACATGCAGCCTAAAACTAACGTTCGCAACAACCACAGTCCCCGGCCTCAGCTGCTGGTAGTTTTTCCAAGGAACTGTTAAGATCATGTACACCGTGTAACCATGCCAAAGCCACAAGGTGTCTAAGTGCGGAAGACGAGTGGGACAGTAGTGAAGTTATTAACAACTACCGCCGTTACGCTGTTAGTCCCCGGAGATCGAGAGTAGAGAAGGGAGGAACTGAGGAGCAGCCTAGTCAGAGCGGCGGGAACGCCGATGACGAGGAGCAGACCAGAGAACGTTCAAGTCCTAAGGTCGAGTGGAACGTACTTCAAGGCGTTGAGCCTGAAGACTTAGAGAAGGGTTAAGTTGGGAAGGGAGATCTAAGTTGATTTAAGTTGATAATTAAACTGAGGAACTACAGTAGCGTACAGGCAGTATTTATATCTACGGATCGGCGCATCAGTGCGGAGCGCCAGACTAACTATTAGGAGCTATACGAGTAGTACCTGCAGGGTAGAGTAAAAGACAATAAGGAGGGACTAGAACCAAAGGGTATGTGTAGCGAGAAAGAACAATAAGAGTAAGATTACAATAAGAGTGGATCTTCGGAGTACCGAGCGGCGGAGTGGAGGCCCGAGGCATGGACTTGACAGGAACTATCAACTCGCCATCGATTTTACGCCAATCGGGTTGAAGCAAGCGTGCTTTGTTGAGTGCGAATAATTTCCCGCTGTAATCTGGCATCAACTTGTAATCATATTGCGCCCCAACGGAGATGCTAGCATCTGTAACAAACATTCATTGAACACCAAACAATTAAGAGTCGGACTCTACACACCAGGAGGGAAACCCAAATCTCTGTTGTCAGCATTGTAACAATTCTCTCCGGCAATTCGTCTTCAACTTCAGCATGTTTGTTGAGTTTGCGTTTCTTGAGTTTTGACGAGACATTATCAATGTCAATACCTGCTTTGGTTCCCAACTTTCGCTCTCCTTGCGGAGTCTAAACAAAAAGATTAGTAATGAACCCTCAAACATGCCAATGCTTACCACATATAGTAACGGTCCAGTGAGCGCTATGGCGTCAAGGGAATGATCAATTACCACTTCCTTGATGATTTACTTCACATACGCGAGCTACAGAGAATGTTAGGACCAAATAGAGCTTTCTAGAATGGTATGTTCATTAAAAGATGAACTTTTGAGTAAAACAAAATGTGCCATGTGAGAATTGAACGTACCGAACAACCTCTGCATGAGGGGTCATCAAACAGAGGTATTTTTCTTCACCCTCTCCTTCAATCTTTGTACAATCCCATGTTGACGTATTTTCTGACACGTCACTGTTGTCGTTGTCCTCTTGCTCCGATTCTGGCCCTGACTTCTTCTTAACACATCTGTGCTTCTTTGATGGAGGATATCCTGTTCAATGTAAGTCAATGGTCACTGACATTGGAGGTAGAATGAAAATTGAGCGATGACATTCAGAGGCGATGAGGAACCATTATTTTTGTTAAGTTCCGTGTTTTGAATACTGCTGCTTACATAACCCAAACTCCGTTTGCTCTCCGCGGGCAGCAACAGTCATTGCATTTTACCATTACTTGTTGTTACGATCACTTCTTTTTCATCTTATCTTTCTCCTTATCCCTTGTCTTATCTTTTATCTTTTGTCTTATCTTCTATCTCCCTTATCCTATATCTTATCTTATCTTGTCACCTGACCTATTATTTATGCTTACTGATACAACATGCGCTTTTCATTTACTTATATTAAACACAGCAGTCTCACAACACGTATACAGCATGGCGATCGAGCTTTCATTACTTACGCACTACTTTACTTATGTTCTACTCATGTTTACCACTAACCCAGGGTGTTGGGCATTACTAGGGCAGAGGGTTGTTCACTAGTATATAGGCTGTAGCTACTTGCTGTATTTCCTTAGCTTTGATCTCGTCTATTCTACCTGGTTTAGCCCAGAACTCTGCTTGCTTCTTTTATCGCCCCGCCCTCTAAGGTTTTCTTGAGTGTGACGCCTGGTGACATCTGTTACTAGAACCAGTCGCTGACAGAAGATCAAAGCTATTCTTACCACCTGTCACACGCTACGCAATCATATCCCTATCACAATTATCCCCGCTCACATTTTTACCAACCCTTCACAGACTTCTACTCTCTATTCGAGCAGTGTCGCCTATAGTACAAAGGTGTAACGTTGAGTCCGACACCGTACTGGCAGACGAAAGCGTCGACTGATCACTAATCTTCGGAGAAGGGTCTTCGCGTGCACAACGAGCTCCATTCCTAGACAGGGAGGGTGCATCTGTTCATCAAGCGAGAGTGGAAGGCTGCTTCCCACATCATCGTACTCTATTTTCGAAATCTCTCCCACATTACTCTCAACTTCTACAAATCCAATCATACATTTTCCCATCATCACCACCGGGTTGCATTAGTAACTCGTCTTCCTTACAACGGATTTTACTTCAAGACTAGGACGACCTAGACTTTCGGTACAAACCGATCGTTACCGTACCCCCGATTCATCTGCTCCATCCACTTCATCCTCTATCGAACGAAATATCACCTCATTCATACCCGCCTACATACCACCCAACTTCAGCATGTCTAACCCTACTCCCGCTCCCACCACCACTACCTCCAATATTCATGGCAAGTCATTGCTCAGAGAGCCTAGCATCTTTGATGGCGACAAAGCCCAGTTCAAAGAGTGGCGCCGTACCCTCTTTGCCTACATTCGTGATCCAAGGAATAGGATCGTCACAGACAGTGAAAGAATCGACATTGCGGTCTCGTATATGCGAGGTCCCAAAGTCAGTAGCTGGGTCCAGAATTATACAGACGATAATTTCAATGACGACGAGGAGGAATGGAAAGTCACCTGGAAAGGATTCAAGGATGCATTGAATGCCTCCTTCCTAGACAAAGGACTCACAGAGAATGCTCAGGAGAAGCTAGAACATCTCCGTCAGGGCCCCAGTGAGAGGGCAGAGGATTTCTTCAAGGAATTTGAAGTCATCATGCGAGACGCCGGATATGCTAAGGACACCCCCTACGTCATCAGGCTAATTGAAATGAATGTAAAGCCGAAGCTGATCGACCAAGTATATGGCACCAGCAATGAGCGAATCGAGAAATTCGATGAACTCAAACAGAAGATTATCAGTATCGATGACATGTGGTGGCGTCGTGAGGAAATGCGACGGAATTGGTCAAACAGATACCAGCGGAATGCTGGGCAAGGACCTAGTAGCCAGAGATGGCAACCACAAACGACACAGGCTCCCATAACTAAGGCTCCAACCCCTGCGGTACCCACCCAGGATAGGAAAGACGGTACTGGAACAACTTTCAAAGGTGCAGGCAGACCAATGGACATTGACGCTGCGCGTCGCAACAAGGAATGTTTCCATTGTGACAAGCAAGGCCACATTGCGAAGTTCTGTCCAGAGAAAGCACCGAAGCCGCAGTTCGTCAGAGGCATGTGGAGCCGGATGACACAGGAGGATCAGGAGGCTATGGCCAAAGAATTGGGTTTTGTCTTGCCCCAGCAGTAGACGCAGGTCTGCCGGGGCCAATCTCAGAATCAGCATCGGACTTTTCGTCATCGTCATATGTAGACAGTCAATTTAGTTTTGAATTTGGTAGTACTGGTACACCCAATAAAAATAACTTATCTACAATGACGACCCGAGCTGAGAAAAAACCTGTGAGATATGAACCAAACACACCTGAATGGGTGGCGCAGCGGTTACAAATGGACAAACTCCCTATGGCTATAGGAATCCTTAGAGCCTGGATGCCTGAAAGTCGTATCAGAGAAGCATCGGAAGAAACGGTATTGGCTATACAAAATCTGAGTCATGCAACCGCAACTGAAGCAGTTACCAATCTCAAAAGTCGTAAGAAATTCGTCCGAGGTACCCGAGGACGTGAGCTAAAGTTGCGAACCACTATTGAGAATATCGACAATGGTGTACAGATTGAAATGGAAGCCCTCCTAGACAGCGGAGCCACAGGGTCCTGTATCAATAAGGATTTTGTAGAACAGCACCAGCTCACTGTTAAGGAGTTACCAGTCAAAATGCCGGTCTATAACGCCGATGGCACTCTGAACAAAAATGGTTCCATAGAAGGCTATGTACAAGTCCGAATGGTGATAGGAGATCATGCCGAACGGATAGATATGGCAGTTACCAATCTAGGCAAGACAGATATCTTTCTAGGCATAGACTGGCTACGTTACCATAATCCTAGCATTGATTGGAAGGAATCTACGTTAACGTTCGAACGTTGTCCTGACAAATGCGGGTATTTGCCACACTATGAATCACCTGAGGATGATGGTACAGAGGAAAAACTTGTCGATGGTGAAAGGATCTTCTGGTTCGATTGGGATGGGTATCTTTCTGACCAAGGCCATATCAAAGTACAAACTGCTACTACAGATGCCGCTACTCCGTACCTTGCCGAGTATGCTGATGTATTTAGTAAAAAAGACTTTGACCAAATGCCAGAAAGATGTCCATGGGATCATGCCATAGAGTTAACGCCAGGCTCCAAACCAGTTGACTGTAAAGTCTATCCCCTCAGTCCACCGGAACAGAAGGCTTTAGATGAATTCCTAGAGGAAAACCTTAGATCGGGACGAAAACGACCATCACGCTCACCCATGGCTTCACCTTTCTTCTTTGTCAAAAAGAAAGATGGAACACTACGGCCTGTACAGGATTATCGAAAGCTAAATGACATGACTGTTAAGAATCGATATCCACTCCCGTTAATCCAGGAACTCATTGATAAACTGAAGAATTCCAAGATCTTTACCAAAATGGATGTCCGATGGGGATTTAATAACATCCGGATCAAAGAAGGAGATAAATGGAAGGCAGCATTCCGAACAAACAGAGGCTTGTTCGAGCCCACAGTTATGTTTTTCGGACTTACAAACTCACCCGCCACGTTCCAAGTATTCATGATTCACATCCTTCGAGAGCTCATTGATCAAGGACACGTCATTGTCTATATGGATGATATCCTTATCTTCACGGACAACATTGAGGAACATCGGATCATCGTCAGAAAGGTTCTTGACATCCTAAAAGCCAACAAACTGTACTTGAAACCTGAAAAGTGCACCTTTGAGGCTAGGGAAGTTGAATATCTTGGTATCATTGTAGGCAATGGACAAATCCGGATGGACCCAAAAAAGGTTGAAGCAGTTCGAACCTGGCAGCCACCACAGAAAAAGCGCGAACTACAATCATTCTTAGGGTTTTGCAACTTCTTCCGCCGGTTCATCCGAGATTTCAGTAAAATTGCCAAACCCCTAACACGGCTCACAGGGAATGCGACTTGGGAATGGACATCTCTTGAACAAGATGCGTTCAATCAACTGAAAGACCGGATCATCGAAGACGTCACTCTCATTATCCCAAGAGAGACTGGAAAATTCCGGATTGAAGCTGATTCTTCCGATTACGCAAATGGTGCTGTCTTATCGCAAAATGTCGATGGAAAGTGGAGACCAGTAGCCTTCAGGTCCAGGTCACTTAACGAAGTTGAACGGAATTATGAAATTTACGACAAGGAGATGATGGCCATCATGGATTCTCTATCAGACTGGAGACAGTATTTGCTGGGCGCAAAAGAACCTGTTGAAGTCTTTACCGATCACCAGAATCTCCAGTATTTCCGGAAACCTCAGAAGTTGAATCGACGACAAGCCAGATGGGTAGTTGAAATTGCTGAATACCATATTGAGCTCTTCCATAAGCCTGGGAAATCAATGGGAAAAGCCGATGCTCTGTCAAGGATGTCAGGCCTTGAGAAAGGGGAGAATGACAATACCGACGTCACACTGCTAAAACCAGAATTTTTCATTTCTCAAGTAACGGATCAGACATCTGCCCCCGAAGACGATCTGCTTAATCTCATCCGAAGAAAGAAAAACCAGCGAGACAAGTTAGTACAGGTTGCCCTCGAGTCTAAAGACAAGGAATGGCTTGAAACTGAGGATGGACTAGCAGTCTGGCAAGGACGCATCTATGTCCCCAAGGACAAAGAGCTCAGAGGACGAATCATACAGGCACATCATGATGCCCAGACAGCAGGACACCCTGGCCGCTATAAAACTATTGAGTTAATTACACGCAACTACTGGTGGCCAGGAATCAGTCGAGATGTCAGGATCTACGTGGAAGGCTGTGAAAAATGTCAGGCCACAAAGACACATCGTACAA